ACTAGAAAGAGGTATATTTTCTTGTAATTATATTTTTATAATTATTAAATAATAAAAATTAAAAAATTAAAAAATTAATATATATTGATAATTATGAATTTTAAAAATATAAAATTTATTAAATTTTTAAATTGAAAATATTATTATGCTAAAAAAAATATTTGAAACTTAATATTATAATAAAAATTATAAATAATATTAATTTGATTAGATAGGATAAAATTTATAATAAATATACTATTTCTTTTAAAGAATCATTTTCAAAATAAATATTCTTTAAAATTATTTAGTATTTATGAAATATTAAGACATTTAGAGAAATATGAATTGTTTCAAATAAAACATAATATTTAATATTTTAATATTTGATTCTAATTCTTTTACATCTTCTTGTATTTAAAACCTATTTTAAAAACTTTATTTTTCATTAATAAATTATATTCAATTATACCTAAATTTATAAAAAATATATAATAAAAATTTAAGCTTAGTAAAATAATATTTTATATTATATAATTTTCTACTTTTACTATTACAGCTCTTATAATACTTATTATTATCATAATTATTGATAAATTTACTATTAATATTTATTAATATTATCTTTATTAATAATTTTTAATTAAAATTTAATTCATTTTAAAGCTCTGAATAGTTCAGATTAATCTGAAGATTTTTCAGATTAGTTCAGTTCAGATCATAAAAATCGATCTGAAAATTTCAGTTCAATTCAGATTTTTTTTGGATTATAATTCTAATCTGAACTGAAAAAAATTTGAACTGAATTGATAATTTCAGATTAATCTAAAAGTTCAGTTCAATTATATGCAAAACTCTTGAAAGATCACAAAATTTGCAAATTTTCTAGAGGATCGTAAAATTATCACGAAACTCTTGAAGAGTCACAAAAAATTGCGATTTCTTTTTGAATTTCGCGAACTTTAAAGAGAAATTTGCAATTTTTTGCGATTCTCCTAGAGTTTCACATATAAATTGTGTATTTCTTATATAATTAAACCATAATTTTAGATTAATCTGAAAATTTCAGTTCAATTCAGATTTTACCGGTCTGCATTTCAGTTCGGATTTAGATTGGCATTTTTAAGATTAATAATCTAAACTGAACTGAACTGAAATTTTCAATTTGAATACGGATTGGCATCTAATTCAGACTGAATTGAACCGTTCGGAATTTTAATTCATTTACATTATTTAAAATTTTACAAATCTTAAAACTAAATAATAATTTAATTATAAATTAATTATTTTTCAAAAATATTTAATTCATAAATTTATATTTAATATTATATAATAAAATTTTATAATAGTTTTATAAATATAAATAATTGCTATTTAAATATACTATTAATTATAAAATTTTCTTTTAATAGTTAATTAATTAAAATATTAAGTAATTAATAAATATTAATTAAATCATTTAAAATTATTATTAAATTAATTATATTATTATAAATTTTTTTATTAATCTTTTAAATAATTTTTAAAAAACTAATATTATTATATATTATAATAAAAGAATACTAATTAAAAAATTCAGCTAATATAATGTAATATATATGATTAGAAACTATATTATTATATTACATTAGATGATAAAGATAATGAAAACTAAGAAAACAAATTAAACAAAGATTATGTAAGAAACTTAAAAGATAACAGAATTTTCTTTTATATTATTAATCAATTTATATTATTAATCAACTATTATTTTAATTATTTGTATTGACAAATTTAATATAAATAAAATAATCTTAAGACTTAATTAATAATAAACAAGTTCAGATAATTATAAGTAAAATAATTTTGAATTTAATGATTTTTTAATAAATTAATTAATAAATTAATAAAATTTATTTAATAAATTTTAAGTTTTACTTAAAATCTTTTGAGATATTTTTTAATATTATCATAATATTATTTTATATTTCTTTAATAATAATATAGTTAAATTTTACTTTTTTTATTTAATAATTTAATATAGTTTTTTTAAAAAAAAAGGTTTTTATTCAAAGTTAATAAAATTTTATTTTAATTTATTTTATTTAAATTTATTTTAATATAATATTTAATTATATTAAAATTAATACCTTTTATTTTAATTATAATAGCTTATATTTTTTGTTTATAAAATAAAAAATTTTTTTTATATTTAATAATTTTTAACCTTAAATTTCTCTTTTTTTTTAATATTTATAATATTATTAATAATAAGTAATACTATATATAAAACAGTTTAATAATTCTTATTTTAATAATTATAAATCCTAATTTAATAATATTAAAAAATTTAATTTTAATTTTGACTAGTAATAATTTAATAAATTATTATCTACAGCTATAGTAAATATTGGTAACTGCATTAAATAGATTTAATTTAATTTAATTTTTTTTTTATTTAAATTTTTTTATAATTATTCTGTAATATCCTATAATATAATTATAATATAATTAAAAATATAAAAGATTATCAATTTGATTCTAGTTTTGGAAGTTGAAATAAATTAAAGTAAGTTAAATTAATCAAATGATTTTGAATAAATGTTTCTATATAGCATTATAACTAAACTAATCAAATTTTTATAAAAAAAAATAATTAAACTTAATTTAAAAATATATTTAATATATAAAGTAAATTTAAATTTTTTCTTTTTTACTATAAATTATTCAAATAAAATAAGTAAATTATTTTAAGTTTAAATTAAATATTAAACTAATTTGATTTTTAATTTAAAATTAAATTAAATTAGATTAAATATTAAATTAAATTAAATAATAAAATTTAAATATAAAAAAAAGTAAAAAAATAAAATATTAATCATAAAAAATAAAATTATTATTAAAAAAAATATATCTAAAGTTTAAAAAATAATTTTTACTAAGAAAATATATTAAATATAATTTTTAATTTATTTTTATGATATATATTTTTTATAATAATTAACTATTTTATTTTTATTTATAATATATTTAATATAATAAAATACATATAATAAATAAAAATAATTATTTATAAAAGAAAGTTATTTTCTAATGCTTATTTTATAAAATATATTATTAAATAAAAATTAATAAATATATATTTTGAAAGTTTTACTAAAAAAAAAAAAATATTATAAAATATGTATTTTAAGTTTAAGTGAAAGATATAATATTACATAAATTTACTTATAACTTATATTAATTTACATAAATTTAAGTATAAATTTATGATTTTTGCTAAAAGTTATACTAATTTATATTATTTATACAATATTATATAAAACTTTAAAACTTTTTTAATTTTTTATTAAAAAAAATAATAAAAATATATATCTAATATTTAAAATAAAAATATAATAAAAAATATATCTAAATATTAAAGATAATTTTTTCAATTATATTAAGCTTTAAAAGTAATTTTTATTAAAAAAATATATAATTTTAAAAAGCAATTTTTATTAATTTATTTAAATCAAATATTTAAAAGCTTGATTAATTTAATTAATTAAATTAAAGATTAATTATACTTGACTTGAAAAGATTTAATTTTAAATTAATATTTAAATTTTAAATCAAATTATAAAATCCTAATAAATGTAAATTATAATAATTAATAGCAAATTTAAAAATGATTATCTAAAAGTTTTAATATATTTTTTTTAAAACTTATATGAGGTGTGAGAAAGAAAATTAAAAATCATTTTTAAAAATTATTTCTTAATTTTCTCCTTCTCATCTCATATACACCTTCATATAAATTAAATTGCTAAAAAAATAAGACTTAAAATATTATTATATAAATAATTATAAAGCTCAAGTTTTTATTTAATTTAGATTTTATTTTAAAAAAAAACCATTTTTTTTTAACTTATACTCTAACTTTTCTTTTAATTAAATTAAAGCTATGAAATATGCAATATCTTAAAATAGAAATTTAAATGTATCTGTGAAACCAAATCATATGGTAAATCTCAATTTTGTTTTAAATTTGAAATTTGTGTTACAATATTACTTGTAATGCAATCTTTCAATTTCAATTAGTCTACATATGATATTACGTGTAAAGAAGCTTTTGACTGTTTACTTCAAAAATATAATAGTTTTATTTATAATTATACTCGAAAGTATTTGGAGAGTAATTGTGATATTTTTATATTTTGCATCAAACGTAAACATGAAGCTATATTATTCTACCCTTTAAATTCTATTCAATACTAATATTCACATTGGATTTAGCTATCATCATTGATTATTATTCATTGATAAAAGATAAATATGCAAAAAAGGTGAAATTGTTCTTTATTTAATTACAAATATGTACATAAAATGTGTGGCATGCGTGCAGGCGTGCGCAATTATGCAGAAGATACGTAACGTTTATGCATGTGTCGCAAATTTCAATCCGAATTACAGCATTGCTTTTTTTCTCCATAAAATCTTTCAAACAATTACACTATTTTTACGACTGTTCCATATAGAAATTCGAAATGGGCCCAGGCTTTTGAGTAAGCCATCTATCAAGTTATACTTGTTTGTAAATGAAAATTTTCTTTATTCTATATTTTTATTTAATTGATTTTTTTGGAAGATTGAAAAAAGAAACTTCTGCTTCAGCAAAAAAGATTTATCGGACGCGGCTATATTAAAGTTACACGGAGTCATAAGGTTTAGATTTAGCTTTTTGCAAGACAAGTTTAACATAACAAGGGCTTTTTTATTATGAGTCTCTAAATTTTTTTTTTTTTTTGCTTGCCAGCAAAATATTCGTTAGTAAATATAATTAAAGGAAGTTTTTGTTTTTTCAAAGCTTTTATATTTGTTCCTTCTTGAATCTGCGAAAGGTATTTTCTTTGAAGTTTAAATTTTTATATTAGTGGTCTTAGGATATCTGAACGATTCACATGATTGGCTCACACTGATTGGCCGAAAAAAATTTATTAAACCACATGATCGCATGCATTCCAATAAAATACTTTTGTTGGTCCTTTAAAAAAAAAATCATGCGTTTTTAACGAATTTATATTAATATTTTAAATAAACTTCAATACTACAAGGTGATAATTTATAGATTCGATTGAAAATAAAATTCAAATTCAACAACAACTAGTTCTAATCATTGACAAAAGTCCATCCATCAGGTGATCGTAATCGTCGATTTGTTCATATTTATCCGATAGTTGACGAAGAGGGTGGAAAATTAATTATCTGCCGATTATAAGATCAAAATTGATAGTATGACAGATAAACAAGATTCAGCACCTACAACTTCTATTGGATCTATAGATCCTAATAAATTAGCACCGCTATTTGCGTTATGTAATCGATTAGAGAGGGTTTATATTATCTGTTGAAATATTTACATGGAACGAGGTCTTTATTTCCTATATCCGTATCAATAATGATACCGCTACAATAAGAAATCAGAAATTTATTATTAAGGCAGGAAGTTATATTGCGGCATGATAGATATTATTTATTTATATTGAGAAAGGATGAGTTTTTATGATAGACTAGGGGTTTTTTAAAAAAAAAAAGATCAGGGAAAAACAAGGAAGTAAAAATCTCATGATAAAGGAATGCTCCGAACAACTTCCTTTTTTCTCTTTAATTGTAATCAAGCTTTATCGGAATTTCATGTAATGTACAATCGGAATCTATTCAAAAACAAAAATGACACGTGAAACAAATCTAAGCGAGCATGACAAAATATTCTATAGTACGATTTATTTTAACGAAATAAAAGACCAAAAATTCTACCTGGTATTTATTTTATATTTAATGATCATCGGTTCTAAGAAAACCCTTCCCAATCGGGAAGACTATATGATATTGTTTTTCACAATCCCCATGCATATTGTGTAACTGCGGATAAATTTTACTATCATTCTCACTAAGGCTTAACGTTAAAATGCAAGTGCAATATAACAATGCGGCGCAGTAGTCACCGGTGCCTTTATATAGTTTTTTTTTTTAAAAAAAAAAAATTCAAGTCACAAGTATTGAAGAAATAGAAATTTATTCGAAAAATTCGAAAGTTTCTTTTTGTAATTTCACCAAACATTTTGTATATCAAAGGAGGTTATTTCAAAGGTGAGATTGATATTTTAAAAGAAAATAATAATTGTTTCTTTATTTTTTTGAATAGAAATTGCAACTTTCATAAAGCTAATGGTAAACTAGAAGGAACCGGAAACATCACCACTACTTTAATGCTTGAACATCAGAAGTTCGAATCTCAATCATAAATTCCTTATTTCGCAGACCAAAAAAAAAGTGTAATTTATTAATATCAGTTAATATAAAAATTTATTTAACGCGAAAATAAAAAAAAATTATGTGTATTTATCGTTGTCATCTTCATTGATTAATTAATTCATCGCTGAATAACTTTCAAACCGCATAATATAATTCCAATTGTTTCAACTTCTTTGAACATACATCTGAAACAATACTTCTTTTTTAACGTTTGATTTATTTATCTTTCAAAGTAATGCACTTCTTTTTCATTAGCAGGCAAAAATTCGCATTATTTCTGGAAAAGAAGCGTCGTGATCATGCGATAAGCGAAATGCCATCAAGAAATAGATTCATTCCGTCAAGATTATCACAAAACAAATCTAATTAAAAATTGTAAAATAAAAATAAATTATCGGAATGTTCTCACCGAAAAGCTTAGGCTAATAAATCTATTGCAACGTT